AACCCATATACTGATTTTGACAAAAAATGTAAAGGTAAGTCAGTGAGACAAAGAATATTTTTTCAACAAATTGTGCAGTAACAATTGAATACCTAAGAGCCAAAAATATGTATACTTCTGTCTTTATTTATTTATTTATTTTTATTGCAAATTCTGGATATCAGCCCTTTGCCAAATGGGTAAACTGCAAAAATTTTTTCCCATTCTGTTGGTTGCCAATTCACTCTATACTTCTATCTTATACCCTTTGTAAAAACTAATGCAAAATGTATCATAGGTTGAAATGTAGAACATAAAATTCCAAGCATCCTAAAAGAAAACATAGAAAAAATGTTTATGACTTTCATTTAGGGAAATATTTATTTAAAAGAACTCCAAAACCACCAACTGTAAAGGGAAAAAGTGATCAGTAAGAACTTATATTAAAACCTCCTGTTCAAAAGATACTGAGAAAATGAAAATGCAAGCCACTAAGTGGAAGAAAACATCTCTAAAACACATAGCTCTTAAATGACTTATATCTAGAACATGCAAAGAATAATAAAAAAGTAAAAATTTGGTCAAAATATTTGAATCCACACTTCACAAAAGAAGAAACACAAATGACAGAGAAGCACAAGAAAGTAAACTCAACATCAGTATGCATCAGGGAAATGCTAATTAAAACCAAAATGGCATATCAATGTAAATCCACCAAAATGACTAAAACTGAAAACAATAACAGTGCTCTGATAGTTAATAGTGAGTGTCAACTTGATTGGATTGAAGGATGTGCAGTATTGCTCCTGGGTGTATTTGTGAGGGTGTTGCCAAAAGAGATTAACAATTGAGTCAGTGGGCTGGGAAGGACAGATCCACTCTTAATCTGGGTGGGCATCATCTAATCAGCTTCCAGCTCAGCCAAAATAAAGCAGGCAGAAAAAAGTAAAAAGGCTTGACAAGCATAGTGTCCTGGCATACATCTTTTGCCTGTGCTAGACTCTTCCTTCCCTTAATTATCAGACTCCAAGTTCTTCAGTTTTGTGTCTCGGACTGACTTTCCTTGCTCCTCAGCTTGCAGACAACCTATTGTGGAGCTTTGTGATCATGTGAGTTAATACTAAATAAACTCCCATATATATATGGGAGTTTATTTATATGATATATATATATATATATGATATATATATATATATGATGTATATATATATGTGTGTGTGTGTGTGTGTGTGTGTGTGTGTATATATATATATATATATATACACATATATACCCTATTAGCTCTGTCCCTCTAGAGAAATCTGACTAACGTAGATTTTGGTACCAGGAAAGGTTCCAGAGAAGCAGAATATTAAAAATTGAGCTCTTTCATTGGTTTTGGGGTTTCTGGAGCTTGCTTCTTAATATTAGACTCAAGAATGGGATCCTGAAAGTTGGAATGGGGATGTGTGGGAGGACCCTGATGAAGCCAGGGACACTGATTTTATGATGAACATTTTGTGCCAGAATTAACAGCTCCCCCATCCCCAATAGTGGCAACACCCCTTCCGGGATCCATGCTGCCATCAGCCTTTTCACATTTGCCGGAGGAGATAAACCCTGTGCTGCCTAAGGCAATAGTGATGGCCTTCCCTGAGGCAGTTGCCAGACAAGACAGTGTTGATTCTCCTCAGGAGCCACTCCCAACGCCCCTGTTTGCTTTTGGACCTATAACTAGATTTAAATCCCTAAAGAGATGAGGTTGAGAGTGTGACTTAGGAGAAGGTGTGCTACACTTGAAAAGAACTGCTAGAGTTTTCTAATTTATATAAACAGAAATCTGGAGAACAGGCATGGGAATGGATATTAAGGGTGTGTGATAATGGTGGAAGAAACATAAAATTGAATCAGGCTGAATTTATTGATTTAGGCCCACTGAATAGAAACTCTATTTAAAGTTGCAGTTCAGAAGTTAAAAAAAAAAGGTTCTCATAGTTTATTTGCTTGGTTAGCTGAAATATGCATTAAAAGATGGCCCACTGTGAAGAAGCCTGAAATGCCTTATCTTCTTTGGTTTAAAGTAGAGGAAAGGATCCAAAGGGTCAGGGAGACAGAGGGTGAAGTGGATTAGTCACTTTAGACCTACTTATCCCAGCTGGGAGGATCCAGAAGATATACCTTGATCAATTCCTTGTAAAATATATTCGTGAGGACAGCACCTGCATCTTTGAAGAGCCCTATAATTTCTCTTCTCTGTATGTCATATCTAACAGTGGGAACCAAAGTTACTAAACTACACAATTTAAATACAATGGGAATAATTGGATCCCAAGGTGATAGGGGCTAAGTCGTGGCACTCAACCATCAAAGGCAAGGTGGGTGTAGCTACTGTAATGGATAGCAGAGAGGCAAAATGACAATCAGAATACTCAGAATCATGTAGAGCTCTGGCATTGCCTAGTTAATCATGGTGATCCTAGAAGTGAAACTGATAGGTAGCTTACTGCATTCCTACTTAATTTATACGAGTAGAAAACTTCTAGGTTGAATGGACAAAAGACTAATTTGATTTATAAAAACAGAGAGTCAAGTCTGCTCAATTAATTTTCATAATTGAGCTAGTTTACAGACTCAGACCCCCTTGAATCAAGGGGATGCCAGGTCCCCTTGAGGAAGGACCCCACTACACTGCCAACAATTTATGAAATGTATGCAGTGAATCTTTCTCCCATCCTTCCCCCAAGGAGACCTCTGACTTTTTGCCAGGGTAACTGCTTTGGTGAACAGGAAATGACAGGACATTTTGTGGGCTACTGGACACTTGCTCTGAGCTGACATTAATTGCAGGTGACCCAAAACATCATTGTGGTCCTCCAGTTAAAGTAGGGGCTTATGGAGGTTAGGTAATTAATGAAGTTGTAGCTCAGGTCTGACTTACAGTGGGACTCTGGACTCATCCTGTGGTCATTTCCTTAGTGCCAAAATGCATAATTGGCATAGACATACTTAGCAGCTGGAAGAAACCTCATATGTGCTCCCTAACTGGTAGGGTGAGGGTTATTATGGTGGGAAAGGGCAAATGGAAGCCATTAGAGCTGCATATACGTAGAAAAATAGTAAATCAAAAACAATATCACATCTCTGGAGGGATTGTGGAGATTAGTGCCACCAGCAAGGACTTGAAAAATGCAGGGGTGATGATTCCCACCACATCCCCATTCAGCTCTGCTATTGGACCTGTGCAGAAGACAGATGGAACTTGGAGAACTACAGTGGATTATCATATGCTTTACCAAGTGGTGACTCCAATTGCAGCTGCTATACCAGATGTGGTTTCATTGTTTGAGCAAATTAACACATCTCCTGGTACCTGGTATGCAGCCATTGACTTGGCAAATCCCTTTTCATTCATTCCTGTCCATAAGGTCCACCAGAAGCAATTTGTCTTCAGCTGGCAAGGCCATCAAGGTATCTTTATTGTCCTACCACAGAGGTATATCAACTCTCCAGCTTTGTGCCATAATTTTATTCGGACAGACCTTCATCTCTTTTTGCTTCTGCAAGATATCACATTGTTCATTACATTGATGACATTATGCTGGTTGGATCCAGTGAGCAAGAAGTAGCAAACACACTGGACTTATTGATGAGACATTTGTGTGCCAGAAAACGGGAAATAAATCTATCTAAACTTTACGGACCTGCTACCTAAGTAAAATTTCTAGGAGTCCAGTGGTGTGGAGCCTGTCAAGATATTCCTTCTAAGGTGAAGGATAAGTTGCTGCATTTGGTCCCTCCTACAACCAAGAAAAAGAAACAATGTCTAGCGGGCCTGTCTGGATTTTTGAGATAACACATTCCTTATTTGGGTGTGTTACTCTGACCCACTTATCTAGTGACCCGAATGGGGTTAGAAGAGGAAAAGGCTCTGCAACAGGTCTAGGCTGCTGTGTAAGCAGCCTGCACTGATGGCCTTACGGGGAGTTTTCTGTGATTAGTTGACAGAAGACGAGAAGACTAGGGCATGGTTCACAGATGGTTCTGCACAATCTGCAGGCATCACCCGAAAGTGGACAGCTGCAGCACTACAGCCCCTTACTAGGATGCCCCTGAAAAACATCATTGAAGGGAAATCTTCCCAGTAAGTAGAACTTCAAGTAGTGCACCTGGTTGTGCATATTGCATGGAAGGAGAAATGGCCAGACGTGCCATTATATACTGATTCATGGGCTGTAGCCAATGGTTTGTCTGGCTGATCAGGGACTTGGAAGAAGCATGATTGGAAAATTGATGACAAAGAAATTTGGGAAAGATGTATGTGGATAGACCTCTCTGAGTGGTCAAAAACCATGAAGATATTTGTATCCCATGTGAATGCTCACCAATAGGTGACCTTAGCAGAGGAGGACTTTAATAATCAAAATGATAGGATGACCCGTTCTGTGAACACCATCCAGCCTCTCTCTTCAGCCACTTCTGTTATCTCCCAGTGGGTGCATGAACAAAGCGGCCATGGTGGCAAGGATGGAGGTTATGGATAGGCTCAGAAACATGGACTTGCACTCATCAAGGCTGTTCTGGCTACAGCCACTGCTGAGTGCCCAGTTTGTCAGCAGCAGAGACCAACACTGAGGCTTCGATATGGCACCATTCCTTGAGGTGATCAGCCAGCTACCTGGTGGCAGGTTGATTTTATTGGGCTTCTTCCATCATGGAAAGGGCAGAGGTTTGTCTTCACTGGAATAGACACTTACTCCAAGTATAGGTTTGCCTATCGTGGACGCAATGCTTCTGTCAATGCTACCATCCCTGGACTCATAGAATGCCTTAACTGCCATCATGGTATTCCACACAGCATTGCCTCTGACAAAGAGACCCACTTTATGGGTAAAGAAGTGCAGCAGTGGGCTCTTGCTCATGGAATCCACTGATCTTACCCTATTCACCATCACCCTGAAGCAGCTGGATTGATAGAATGGTGGAATGGCCTTTTGAAGTCATAATAACAATGCTAACTAGATGATAAAACTTTCCAGTTTCACCCTTAAAAGGCCCCAGTGCGTGTTGTTCTCCTCTATTTGTTTATGTGTTCTCATCATTTAGCTCCCACTTATATGTGAGAACATGTATTTGGTTTTCTGTTCTTGTGTTAGTTTGCTTTGTTAATGGCCTCAAGCTCTATCCATGTCCTGCAAAGGACATGATCTTTTCTTATGGCTGCATAGTATTCTATGTTGTATATGTACCTCATTTTCTAATGCAGTATGTTATTGATGGGCATTTAGGCTGACTCCATGTCTCTGCTATTATGAACAGTGCTGCAGTGAACACACAGGTGCACATTATTTTTGTTTAAATTTATCAGTATAGAAAAGATCGTAGTATATCATGAATGTCATTTCTATAGTCGTAAGGAAGGGAATCCTTGAAAGCCAGGACATGGGCCTGGTGCAGTGGCTCACATCTGTAATCCCAGCACTTTGGGAGGTCAAGTTGGGCAGATCATGAGTTCAGGAGTTCAAGGCCAGCCTGACCAACATGGTGAAACCCCATCTCTACTACAAATACAAAAATGAGCCAGGCATGGTGGCAGGTATCTATAATCCTAGCTACTTGGGAGGCTGAGACAAGAGAATTGCTTGAACCCAGGAGGTGGAAGTTGCAGTGAACAAAGATCATGCCATTGCACTCCAGCATGGGCAACAAGAGCAAGACTCTATCTCAAAAATTAAATAAGTAAAAATAAACAAAATAAAGTCAGGACATGACAGTGGAAATACGAAGATTATAATATTCACAATCAATTAAAGCTGCTTCATTATTTGGGATCATAATTTGGTAGCAAACATGAACTTTGTCATATTTATTGAACTTCAGCAAAAGTTTATTAAAAATAAATGTAAACAATGAAAGTAAATAGTTGGAAGATGATGTAGGACATTGAGAAATTTTTGATAGAGATTGGAGCTGAAGGGAAATATGAATTACTATAATATTTTAGAGATAATAGCAGAAAACACATTCAACTTATCAACTTGGAGAAAAGAAAAAACAATTTATTCTAAGACAAAAATAAATGAATAAGCTCAATGGGCAGTCTTGTTCTGTATGTAGGCATATACGAGCCATTATATAATTGTAAAGGTGCCCAATACTAGGAAATTAAGGGTAAATAAATACCAGCCAAGAATGATTTCATAAAACCCCAATTCCTAGAATTAAGTATGCAATACAACTTTTACAATTTTATTAAGAAATCTTTTGTAAAAATATTTTGAAATGTTTCTAATAATTATATATGCAATAAAAACTTGGAAGTAATAAGAATTGAATAATAATACAGTCATTTCTTGGTATCTGTAGGAGTTGAGTTCCAGTATTTCACATGAATACCAGAATCTGAGGATGCTCAAGTCTTTGATATAAAATGGTGTCTTATTTGCCTGTAACCTACACACATTCTCTGGTATACTTTAAATCATCTCTAGACTTATAATACCTAATACAATGTAAATGCTATATAGTTGCTTTACTCTATTGTTGGGGAATCATAAAAATAAAAATGTCTGTATATGTCCAGCACTGATGCAGTTTTATTTCAAATATTTTTGATCTATGGTTGCTTGAGTCCACAGACGCTGGACCCATGGGTACAGATGGCTGACTATACACTAAAAATGTACATGTGTTGATATTAAGTATATGTATAAATGTTTTCTTTTTGTACATGCTTAGATTATTTCCCTATTAAATAGCTAACATTTATATATTGCTTTCAGAATGAAAGGCATTTTTCTAAGCATTTTACATGTATTAATAGTATCTTGATAAAGCTGATAATCACCTAGGTTAATTTCAGAATGACAGGCATTTTTCTAAGCATTTTACATGTATTAATATTATCTTGATGAAAATAATAATAACTTGCAAAGTGGGCCCTATTATTATAATATGGGCTTTACAGAAGGGAAATTGAAACACAGAATAAGTAACTTGTTCAAGTCCGCACAGTTGCAGAACAAGCCAAACAAAATTCCAGACTAAGTTTAATTACTACATTTTATACTGCCTTCACTGTATTTGGCTAGTTTAGGTTATTCTCAAATTTAAATTAGAAGTAAGCAAAGATTCTAATTATTGTCACTGAGATGTAACACTGGAAAATTAATTAGAGGTTACTTCTAAGTGACATACTGGTCAAAGATACATGTGGTTTAAGACTATTTAATATTTTCAAAGTACCCTAAACATATTATTTCCATTCATTCACAACTTCACGTATAGTGGAGCCAAAGGACATGAACTCCCTCTTCTTCTCACTACCAAATCCCATGTAAGCATCCATCTACATAAATATCCTCTTCCGTTTGTGTGTTATATTGCATTATGTAAGGATTCCTGGTCTTATCCAGTGTCAAACTATCTTCTTGTATTCATTATTTCATTCTTTTGTCTATTCCTCTCTCTCTCTCACTCCCTCTATAACGGAGTAGGGAACTTGAACTCAGGTTAAAGACTTTTTGTATAAAGAGCAGAATGTTAATAAGAAAAATGATGGCTAAAAATAAATACATTATGCAAACACACTTTAACCATTACCTATCTCCAGTTTCTCCTATTTCCATCTAATATTCTTTTTATCCCATTTGCCTGCTTCTCTTCATAGCAAAATTTGTCAAAATATTTTCCAAGATACTTATATCTATTTTCCTGCTCTCCGTTTTCTCCTGAACTCACTCCAATTTCCACCATTTCCCTGAAACTAACCTAATCAAAGTCAATAGTGCCATCTTGGTCATTATGCTCCTGAATAGGTTCATCAAAACAAGCCTCATAAATGCGGAATACTTCTGCTGGGTTTCCACATCACTATAACATCTTGCTTTTCCTCTTTCCTCACTTGGCTGGTCACTCCTTTTCAGTCTTTTATTACTCGTTTCTTGTTCTCTATCCAAGCTTTCAAATTAAAGGTCCCTGAAGATGTTTCTGAGCCCACATTGCATTATGATCTAGACATTCTTAGGTAGATCTCATCCAGGGCAATGGCTTTAAATGCAATTTATAAGCTGCTAATTCTCAGTTATGCCCTCCAAATTTATGTCTTCAGCTTTAACCATTCCGTTACTACAGGCTGTATAACCAGTTGTCCACTCAACATTACACTTATGGGAATAGTAAGTTACTTGATTTAAGCATGTTTAAAAAGTATCCTTTTTGTATCTACCCTTTCCCCTGTCTTCATTTCAGTTAGTAACACTCTACCCATTCAACTAATCACCCCAAAAACTTAATTTCTCGCACTGTCTTACCTCCATCTATGAGCAAAACCTATCCGTTATAATTTTGAAACACTTTCCATCTCTCACCCACCTTTTGCCTACCTACAGTTTGTTCTTTGCAAAGTAATCTTTTAAAATAGTAAATCAGACATGATTACTTCTTTGATTAAAATAGATGTCTTTCTGTTACTATTACAGTAATATAAAAACTCCTTTTTCTAGTAATTTTATATATTTGACATTTTATTATAAATCTACTTCTAAACAGAAGGTAAGTTCATGGTCATAGAGTCTCTATCATTTAGGTGACTTTTTGTGTTTATAATAGTGCTTGGCACCCACGACAAACAAAAATGTTTGTTGATAAAGTGAGTATTCATTAATTTTTCACTCCTATATGTACATTATGTATATAGAGCATCTGTGCATATAATTGCTCAAAGAACTTTAAATATGAATTGTTAGAGTTATTAACTTGAGTTACATGGACCCTGGACCTCCTAGTATGATTGAATGAAATATCAATATGACTGGTCTCCTTTTATTTATACATAGTTGATTTTGTATTTAAAAAAATATTATTCTAAGAAAGGTCCAGAGGATGTAAATATGTTCGTGGCCTAGACAAGATTAAGATTAAAGATTCTTACTTGTAGTTTAGTTTACAGTTTTGTCTAGCCCTATATTTTCCCTCTGAGGCCACCAAGAGGAGAGGAAAGTTAAATAATCATGTATATCACTTTTCATCTATTTTGTATATTATGATTTCATATAACATTTACCTGAAATAATAAATTCTGTTGCTAAATATAATTTTGAAAAACATGAATATAATTGAATTATTTTATATATATATAGGAAATGGGAATTCAGAGAGAATAAAAGAGTAATCACTGGTAATTACCAAGGAAAAGCCATTGACAGCAGAGTAGGGAACTTGAACTCAGGTTTCAGTTCAATTCAGCAAAATGAGAATTTACTGAAGACTTTTTACATGAAGAGTAGAATTCAAAGGGGACATAGGCATGGCTAAGATAATTCGTAGTCCAGTTGACAGATTATATGTATAATCAGGAAAAAATACAGAATAAAATAAGCATTATAAGATATTGTGTGAAAATAGAAAGTTATGGGAGATAATATTGTCGGGTAGTAACAAACTTATTGGGGGAATCAAACATATTTAAATCTGAAGCTAGTTTAAACACACAACTATTTGACTTCACCCTGTTACTGAACCTCTCCAAGCCTGGATGCTGATGTTCTTACCTATAAAATAAGGATAATAGAAGTTTGATGGGGATAGCATTGAATCTATAAATTACTTTGGGAGTATGGCCATTTTCATGATATTTATTATTCCTAACCATGAGCATGGGATGTTTTTCCATCTGTTTGTGCCTGTTCTTATTTCCTTGAGTGGTGGTTTGTGGTTCTCTTTGAAGAGGTCCTTCATGTCCTTTGCTAGTTATATTCCTAGGTATTTTATTCTCTTTATAGCAATAGTGAATGGGAGTTCACTTATGATTTCACTCTCTGTTTGTCTGTTATTGGTGTATAGGAATGCTTGTGATTTTTGAACATTGATTTTGTATCCTGAGATTTTGCTGAAGGTGCTTATCATCTTAAGGAGATTTTGGGCTGACACAACGGGGTCTTCTAAATATACAGTCATGTTGTCTGCAAACAGAGACAATTCCTCTTTCCCTAATTGAATACTCTTTATTTTTTTTTCTTGCCTGATTGCTCTGGCTAGAACTTCCAATACTGTGTTGAATAGGAATGGTGAAAGAGGGCACCCTTGTCTAATGACAGTTTTGACCTTCTTTACAGAACTGGAAAAAACCACCTTAAACTTCATATGGAACCAAAAAAGGGCCTGCATAATCAAGACAATCCTAAGCAAAAAGAACAAAGCTGGAAGCATCACACTACCTGACTTCAAAGTATACTATAAGTCTACAGTAATTAAAACAGCATGGTACTGGTACCAAAACAGAGATATAGACCAATGGAACAGAACAGAGGCCTTGGAGGAAATGCCACACATGCACAACCATCTGATCTTTGACAAACAGGACAAAAACAAGCCATAGGGAAAGGATTCCCTGTTTAATAAATGGTGTTGGGAAAACTGGCTAGCCATGTGCAGAAAGCTGAAACTGGACCCTTTCCTTTCACCTTGTAGAAAAATTAACTCCTGATGGATTAAAGATTTAAACATAAGACCTAAGACTGTTAAAACCCTAGAAGAAAACCTAGGCAATACCATTCAGGACATAGGCATAGGCCAGGACTTCATGACTAAAACACCAAAAGCAATGGCAACAAAAGCCAAAATAGACAAATGGGATCTAATTAAACTTAAGAGCTTCTGCACTGCAAAAGAAACAATCATCATTAGAGTGAACCAGAAACCAACAGAATGGGAAAAAATTTTGCAATCTACCAATTTGACAAAGGGCCAATATCAGACTCTACAAAGAACTAAAACAAATATACCAGAAAAAAAAAACCCCATTAAAAAGTGGGCAAAAGATATGAACAGAAACTCTTCAAAAGAAGACATTTATGTGTCCAGCAAACATAGGAAAAAATGCTCATCATCATTGGTCATTAGAGAAATCCGAATCAAAACCACATTGAGATACCATCTCATGCCAGTTAGAATGGTGATCATTGAAAAATCTGGAGACAACAGATGCTGGAGAGGATGTGGAGAAATAGGAATGCTTTTACACTGTTGGTGATAGTGTAAATTAGTTCAACCATTGTGGAAGACAGTGTGGTGATTCCTCAAAGGTTTAGAACTAGAAATACCATTTGACCCAGCAATCCCATTACTGGTTATATACCCAAAGGATTATAAATCAATCTATTATAAAGATACATGCACATGTCTGTTTCTTGAAGCACTGTTTACATTAGCAAAGACTTGGAACCAGCCCAAATGCCCATCAATGATAGATTGGATAAAGAAATGTGGCACATATACGCCATGTAATACTATGCAGCCATAAAAATGGATGAGTTCATGTTCTTTGTAGGGACATGGATGAATCTGAAAACCATCATTTTCATTCAGCAAAGTGACATGAACAAAAAACCAAACACTGCATGTTCTCACTCACAAGTGGGTTTTGAACGATGAGAACACATGGACACAGGGAGGGGAACATCACACACTAGGGTCTGTTGAGGTGTGGGGGGCTAGGGGAGGGATAGCAGGGGGTGGGGAGATTGGGGAGGGATAACATTAGGAAAAATACCTAATGTAGGTGACAGGGGGATAGAGGCAGCAAACCACCATGGCATGTGTATACTTACATAATACTCCTGCAAGATCTGCACATGTATGCCAGAATTTAAATTAAAATTTAAAGAAATGAGGATAATAATGCCGAATGCATAGTGGTTTTGTTTTTCAGTGTTAGATTGTGAATATAAAGCAGCATAGTACAATTCATGAAAAATACATTCTCAAAATGTGACAGACAATTATTTCTCTCATCATAGTTTTGTCAGTTGCTATGACTTTACCCAATGTTGTGGGACAGGAATTATTAAATTTTCTGTCCTGGACTTTGACAACATAAAAGACAGAAAAAAGCACTTTCATACCTAGATTACTCAATGATATCATAAATATGTTAATAAATCAAATAGTTCTTCTTTCCATGTATTTATGCTTCTATGAAGGTGTTGTCTCAATGTTACTTTGCTTTTAGTTGTGTTCCAAAATACTTACTCAGTGGTAAACATATTAAATATTTTTACAAACTTCAAAGTACATTTGTCTAAATATGAGGTAGAAATTATCAATAAACTGGATACTTTAAATATGAATATATTTATATACTGTTTACATATATAGCAATTTAGCTAAATATTAGCCAATAATGTACAAATATAAGAGAAATCGATAGGGTCTTGTATTCAGTCTTTAGTTAGATAGCAAAGCCATTAGCCTGCCTGCCTTCCTTCCTTCCTTCTTTCCTTCCTTCCTTCCTTCCTTCCTTCCTTCCTTCCTTCCTTCCTTCCTTCCTTTTGTCTTTTTTTTTTTTTTTTGGCAGAATCACACTGTCACTCAGGCTGGAGGGCAGTGTCACGATCTTGGCTCACTGCAGCCTCTGCCTCCTGGGTTCAGTGATTCTCCTGCCTTAGCCTCCTGAGTAGCCAGGACTACAGGCACGCACCATCACATCTGGCTAATTTTTGTATTTTTAGTAGAGATAGGGTTTCACCATGTTAGCCAGGCTGATCTTAAACTCCTGACCTCAGGAGATCTGCCTGCCTTGCCCTCCCAAAGTGCTGAGATTACATGCGTGAGCTACCATGCCTGGCTGCTAACAGTGTTTCTTATTAAGATTTTAATTTTTCTTATTATTTCTCTATTATGCTCTGTCCTTTATGGCAGCCACAAGTCATATGTAGATATTGAACAATTAAAATGTAGTTAATGTAATACAGAAATAGCTTTTTACTTATATTTTATTTTAATTAGTTTAAATTTAAATCTGATATTTTATTTATTGAAAACTTCAAAATATGTTTGGAAATTTGGGTATGTAAATCTACTGTCTCTTCTGTAAATTCTATGAAATCTATGTGTAAATTACATATTTTAATGAAAATTTCGTGTACAAATCAGGATGTGATTAAGTGTAAAATATACTGGTTTTTCCAAGGTTAGGTATAAAAATGTAAAACTTTTAAAATTTAATTCATAGCATTTTATGTGCATTATATAGTAAAGTGATAATATTTTTAGCATACTAGGCTAAATAAAAATATTTGAGATAAATTTCGCATTTTTTTTCTTTTTGAATGTGAGTGTGGCTACCAGAAAATTTAAAATTATACGTGTAACTTTCAATTGCATTTCAATTGGACAATGCTTCTCCATATTGTCTTGATCATTTCATTTTATTTTAATATTACTAAGTTTATATCAATACGTTTTGGGAAATACATAAAATTCTAAAAAATAGATGAAAAGTGTAGATTTTTGGGTGAATTTTGTAGAATCAGGATTCACATTTCAACCAGAACTGACCAGTTTGGGGTGAGGAAAAGGGGTGTTTTTTTCTCAAGGTAGTATGATTTTCAGTAGAGAAATGTAGTATGATTTTCAGGAGAGAAATTTTTAGCATTAGCTATTTAACAGCCATGTGAAACTGAAAATAAAATTACTTTAGGAGCCGGTATCTAATGGATGATGGAATGAGATTAGCACCATCTGAGCTATATAAACAACAAGAACATGTATTAATTGGTTTGATTATTTTCTCTTTCAGAACTTTTACACATTTTTCTCCCTTAAATTGGTACAAGGAAATAAATGGAACCTCTCACTGAACTCTACTCTTTCTTAGTTGTTCATGCCCCAGAGAACACTACATTGCTTTTCAGATGACAACAGTTAAAGCCAAAATTATGTTTGCAAGCTTCCCTTATTTTATTTGGGGTCAGATTAAGACTTGGACTTCTGCTCGTGTTAGGATTTTGAATGTAATGAATATCTACTTCAGGTTGCTGAGGGATGCTAGTGTATTTACATCTTGTTAAATTTGCTGTATTTACCAGATACCCAAACTTTTTGCTTGTTAATATTAATGATGCAGAAAGGAGGAGAGAAATACTGTCAAATATATATTTATTGAAGCCTTATTGAGTTAATTCTAATAGTTTGAGGTTTTTAACTCAAATGAAAACCTGTAAGTACAAGAGATTCACATGCTACATCTGTAGTCACTTTTTTCCTTTGATGCTAAAATGAAGGAAATATTCAGGTATATTTACAAGTTGTTATGTGAGCAGTTATGTGAAATTTATGCTGTGTAATGAATTATGCAAAGTAGCTTTGAACAAACTAAATGCCCATTTCATTTGATCAAAGCATGTTTTTACAAATTCAATAATTATGCAATGCATAGGGTTTTTTTTTAAAGTTTTTCAAAGTATGGAAAACAAGCAGTAGGTTTTCCTCATTTGCACACTAAAATGGACTTATAGGGTAAGGGTGATTAATGTACTGAAGTAATTTAAATTCCATACTTTCAAAGTCACAATGCATATGTTACATGCCTATAATTATGCTCCTCTGGGTGTGCACGCCAAGAAGGTGGCAGAGTCAGACACAGAAAAAGAAAGGAGATTGATGATATGGTATTTTGCTAATACAATGCAAAGGCACTAACGGATTATAAACCTCATTCTTGCCTTTCCTACTTGTATGTACCTTCTAAATTACATTTTCAATTTGATGTCTTCACTGATCTGTCATTTACAGAAAATGCCTTCATTATGAAGAAGCTCTCCTGAAAAAATTGGAAGAAAATAAACAATACTTCCAATATTATAATTCAAACTTCTTCGGTTTAAAGATAAACTCCCCCAGCACTCCACCACCACCATACACACACAATCATTTATTAGATTTGATATACATATGCTTAAATATCAGTTTCCTCTTTTCTAAATTTGAGGTAATTTGAGGAAGGAAAACTGTTTTACTGATATCAAGATAATGCACTGGTGTCCTATAACAAGTCATGCCAAAGGAAGACATAATTTTTTAGGAGAGTATTACAAATTTTAAAACTTTAAAGTTAAAATTTGTGTATACTGTCATCTTAAAAACAGTGACCCCTTCTCTACTAAAAATACAGAAGATTAGCTGGGCATGGTGGCGCGTGCCTGTAATTCCAGCTGCTCAGGAGGCTGAGGCAGGAGAATTGCCTGAACCCAGGAGGCGGAGGTTGCAGTGAGCCGAGATCGCGCCATTGCACTCCAGCCTGGGTAACAACAGCGAAAACTCCGTCTCAAAAAAAAAAAAAAAAAAAAAAAAAGAGTGATGTGGTGGCTTTTCTCAGGTTTCCCAACAGGTTGCTAGACATTTTCTTACTACTAAGTGTTGGGTGATCTCAAACATACTGAATATTTATAGGGAATACAATTAGACAGGGTAGACAAATTTTTATTAAATCATGCATCATAATCCCTTTATTATGCTAGTGCCATGATGTTTAATGACTGCCTCCTTTGGGTCAGCTCAACTATAGATTCTATTTATCTCTAAACTATTGACAGAATCCTAATTAATTTAAAAGTTTTAAATACATAAATCTGTGCTTTTTTATCCCCTAAAAATACGTTATTCCATTGACAAGAAGATTTAGTGTCGCAGTGTACCTAATCAAAAAGAGAGGAAATAAATATTGCTTTAAATTTTTGAGGATGGGGGCTGATGCTACCTTTTTATGCCATATAACATGTCAGTTTGGTTTTCAGTTTTAATTGTTCAACCTTATTTGGCCATTTCAGCTGAAGTTTTACATAAACCTATGTTGTACATTTGATGAACTCATGAAGAAATAGAAAGTTGCACACACAAAAAAGTGGATTGATATTTGATATGTCTACAGGAGGGTAACAAACTAAAAATATAGAAACTTGATACCTCTCATTAGAAAAAAAGGGAGCATTTTAAATAGTTTTGTTAATGTTTGTTTAGTTAGTTTGTTTGCTTTGCCTGGAATCCTGTGGTTATGGATATACATAGTTTGACCATAGAAATTTCAAAGCTCTGCTCTTTATATTCTAAAGAATAGAATAGGCTCATCTAGCTACAATTTTTTAGATAGGTTTTTTCTTTAGCAGATGTTCCTTTGGCCTAGAATTTTAAAAAGAAAATAAAAAGACTCAGGTTATTAATTAGAAGTAATAAGTGATTATTTTTTAGGATAAAATAGCTAGATCTGGCCACTTATAGGGAATAGCGGCTGCTGTTGTCTTTTACATGAAGACTTATTTTAATGTAAATGAATGAGAGTGTGTGTGTTATTTATGATCTTTGTGCTGTGTTTGTGCAGTAAAGTCATCGAGACCCCATAGAGACCACTAGAGTGCTGTTAAGGTATGTGGTCTGTTGCATACCTTTGAAAGCTAATTCACGGGGCTCATTTTTGAGACTAATTCTTATATGGAGCATTTTATTATACTTTATATGTATTTTAAAACTTTAAAATAAGAATATTGTTCAACCATACCACAATGGACAGCAATTATAGTATTTTCGAATATGACTCATGAAGTTAAAACTAGGGAATTATTCCAAATATCAAAGTCACTTTTTTAGTGATTATTCAATATTCTTTATACCTAATAATACAGATTATTATCTAACACAATTATTAGAGAATTACAAATGTTAGTCATAATATATTAAGAACATTTTTAGTTATCCCATGGTTTTCTAGAAAGTATTACAGTCTTTGTTCATTAAACACATTTTCATGAAACTAAATACATTCATAAATTGGTTATCTTTTGCTAATAGCTTCTTTAAGAAAGGTTTGCTAAAAAAATTCTTCCAAAGTGAAAAATAATGTAGGTTAATATGAATATAGAAAACCTTCTAGTCTGAAAATTTTCTTACATTAAAAAATAATCATTTCAACTTTTTGTTTTTCCTGAAGCCACCAAATCATGGAATATATACGTTAATAATTGTTTTTTCAACTAAGCACTAATTATAAAGTTTTCTACTAATTAACTACTGAATCCGCAAATACTTATCATATACATGACAAATTATAGATATCATATTTGTAAAAACAAAAATATAATACTTTCTTCATTAATGAAAAGACAGAAATGAAAAAAGAAAAAACAAAGGTAAACACACTTGTTAATTAAAATGATTATTGGTTTAATGAGGGCATTTCAGAAAGCAGTAGGAGCATAAAATTACTAAGTTGGAATAGAGAAATTCATTCAAGTTGTTATAGTTCTGTAAACAGTTTCTTTTAGTTAGTATTTTTTAGTTGTAGTTTTTCTATTGTTCTGTAGTTTTTTAGAAAATCACTTTTCTGAAAATTATTTTATATTTGATACTATGTTTATAAAAATACCTAGGCAACTAGTGACAAGTAACTATTGTACTTTTACCGAGATTAAAAATAAATACTGCTACAATATGGACTCATTTGGGAGATTGACCACTTGTTCTAGAATCATATATTTAAAGGCTGTATCATACATTTTGCAGAGAGTTTTAAAGGACCATATATGAAATCAAGGCAACAATAGAAAAAAAAACTCTGTGTTTTTTTTTTTTTAAAGGATTTTAGAATCTGTCAAAAATAAAATGGAAACTCAATACCAGAATCAAGAATAAAATTAGTACAGTGTTAGGTCTTAGAGATTAGGTAATTGGATACTTTGTAACTTTTCTTTTGGGGTCAGTCCAACCCCTGAAAAAATAGATATCAAGAAATTAAATGTCTCCTACACAAAGAAATGATAAATGTGTGAGATGATGGATATGCGAATTATCTTAGTCTGATCACTATATATTATACATATTGAAACATCACAATGTACCCCCATGAAAATGTACAATTATTATTTGTTAATTTAAAAAAAACAAAATTAATCTTGAACCAAATGAAAAGCAGCATTGTTCTGATAAAGAGGAGCAATATACTTTAACTTCCTTGAAGCCATGAAAGTGCCTAAACATGGTGAGCTAGAGCCAGCTCATACTGCCTCAGAGATTCAGTTGTGTGCACCTCTTACCAACTTTCCATTCAGTGATTAGTGGATTGTAATCTGTTATTTACACCGTGGAAACTGGTAAAGGCTACAAATCAGGGTTTCTTATCTGTTTTCTAGAAAGCCATTGTTAATCATTGACCACTTCATCACTTATTACTGACTATGGGATGTGCCGTCTCTGAGGAACACAACTGAAAAAAATCTGTCTAGTGCAATATCTCTATTGTACACTGAGGGAGGAACTCAGAACACTGAAGTAACATTTTCTGCAGAGTAGGGCACTGTGAAAGACTACATAGCATGTTTAGGATAGGGTGCAAAGGATGCTGTTGTGGGCAAAATTTGTGCGGTGAAACCCTCACCTCCTGTACTTCAGAATGTGACTGCATTTGGAAATAGGGCCTTTAAAGAGGTGAATAAATTAATATGAGGCCACTAGAGTGGACCATTATCCAATCTGACTGATGTCCTTAGAAGAGCACATTAGTTAAAAAGAGACACCAGAGAAACACCAGCACTGAGAAAGATCATATGAGGAAACAGTAAGAAGGTGGCCATCTGCAAGCCAAGAACAGAAGCTTCAGTAGAAACCAACCCTGATGACACCTTGATCTTGGACTTCCCAGCCTCCAGACTGTGATAAATACATTTCTGCTGTTTAAGCTACTCTGCCTATGGTACTTTGTCTCGGCAGCCCTAGCAAACTAATACAGATGTTTACAGTCTTTGCTCCAAGAACAGCTTGACACAAAAATGGACAGGCAGAGCAATCATGAAATATCATAGAATGGCTTTACCGAACTTGTTTCTGGTCACTGTTGCACTCAATGACTTTAAGTTGTAGAAGTCTTGTTTTTATACATACCTACATTGAAACAGATGAGATTACTAAAATTGGTCTCTGTCCCTTTAGAAGACAGTGTTGATTCTTAGTTCTTTTACTATACTTTAAAAAATAGCAGACAGTTTATTTGCACCCAGCTAATCTTGCAGTAACTTGGGAAATATATTTTTGCCATGATTCAGAATTGAGCGACTAGATTCCTGGTTTAGTAAATTCACCAGAAAAGCATGCACATGTTTGATAAATTTTCATTCTGATTTTATGGATTTCATGTGTGCATCTTTGAAAAAAAAAGTGAAGTGTATTAATATACTTCCTGTTCACAAACTGTATGGTTTTATTTGACAAGTATTGCCAATGGCATGAGCAAATTTTATTGTTCTTCATTGTGCAATCAGAAAATTCTCATTCCTGGATCTTGTATTATTAAAATATTTACCTTCAAATTTACACCTAGATGTTATATACCTATTCTTCTTACTCTCTACCTCCACCACCAATGTGTTTTATAACGATTTTCTCTTAACCTTTCTTGGTTTTCTAATTTCTCCACAATTGTGTTTTCTAGTGAATAAGCTCATTTCTGCTCTTTTTGTTCTAACAGAACACACTCAAGTGTCTCAGCTAAATAGCTGGAGATGAGCCATCTTCCTTTTATTGTAGAAAAAACCTTGAAGGAGTATTTTCACAATGATAGAACTGGAAGTTAGGGCAACTTCTAACAGGTAAAATGGCAAATCACTGTTATTTTCCTGAATTTGCATACAAGCAAAGCTTGTGTACTTGCAAAGCCATAATGTCACTAGAGATGATCATTAATAAATTGTGTTTACTTGTATAATATATGATTTTCCACATATTTAGTGGTTGTAGGGCTCTGTGAAACAGTATGCCATTTGACCTTCTTTGATGTTCAGGTTCTTGAATTCTCAACATTTGATTTACAAAGTTCAATTTCTAATGCATGTTTATCATTCTGAACATGTTTCTTCTGGGATTATAAAAAATCAGAGAAACAAGAATATCCAGGAACACATTTCTGGCTACTAATACTGCTGCTAATATTACTTTTTTTGTAATGTGCTATCATCAGTGTTTTAAATGAACAACTATATGTATAGCACAGTAATTTCTATATAATGTAATAATTGTAAAAATTTGATTGGAAAATATGTACCCTTCCTGGTCAATATTTATCTAAGCTGGAATTTAAACACCAAAGATTGTAAATGGTATTTCAAAGTAAAATATTGTAGATCAGCAATACATCAGCTGTACTTTGGTTATTGATTTGGTTTTCTATTTTTTGCTTTGTGATTTAGGGGAGCAATGGAATCTCTCTGTACATTGTTTCATCAGAAATCAAATGAAACTTCCTCTTCATTAAATAATTATTAGGCAAGGCCTGAATATTTAAGTAGAAGCAGTGTTGCTAATATGGAATTGTTAAATTTGAAATTATTGCACTATCTTCTAGAATAAATGTATAAAAAATACTTTCTTTTACTTCTTAGCATCAAGAAAAGAAGAGATGTATTCACCATTTATGAAACAACATCTCTCTTCTCCTCAGCAGTTTTTCTTACAGGCATACATTTTGCTTAAGTTTTTATTTTTTATAAATATAATGTAAATTCTAAATTGTAACATTAAGAACCTTGTTTTGTTGTTAGAGATTTTAGCAAAAGTAAAAATTACATTAAAAGTCTCCAAAAATCTTAGCTATAACAGTCTTCAGATGAGAACAGAATTTAAAAACTGATGTTCCGATACTGTTTTCTACAATAAATAGACAATTCTGGGACTCTTCAAATGTAATATTTATGGAATGTCTTCTTTTAAGGAGCTTCAGATTCCTAAAAGGTTTGTTTTTTCATACTAAGTACGATTTTCCACATAAAGTTACATCTTTTTATCCCAAGAATAAACTGTATATGTGGAAAATAGAAAAAGTGAAATATTACATGTTAAAATTGCATGGCAGAGTCATAGAAAGTTGCCAAATAACTAAATTGCTTTGTCTTTTGAATCTTTCAACTAAAAAGTGTGTACCAACATTCTTGGAAGTGATATTAAAGAATTAGAAACAAAACAAAACGGAAGCCAAAAACAAAGCCTTTAATTGTTTCTTTTTTCACTCATCATTTTCATGTACAAACTAGAACTATATTAATTACAATAAAATATAACCTTTTCTTTATTTTTTATAAAAATAGAAGACTACATGATTTACTTTGTCACCATACATCATTAGTTATCATATTCTTATTGAAGAAAAAATAGTAAATATTTAGAGGGGTATTTAAAAAATTAAAAATTGAAAAAATACCAAACACTTTGCTTACCAAAAATGTCTACGCCTCAGAAATGTTATAAGAATTTGGGAAAAAAACCCACAAAGTTGATCTTTGTAAATGTCATTTTAAGACTGTAAAATTTGGAATTTTCTTTTATGCAATTTCTTTGGTTTTACCTTTTAATTTTTAACTGTAAAAGCAAATATCTTCTTATCATTAAAAAAAAATCAGGTAGCCCAGAAACACATGTAGCATGTCATGAAATTATCCGTCTCATCCCCTCCACTTGTATCCCTGGAGATACCCACTATTAAACATTTGATGTGTATCATGCTAGATATTCTCATCTTATACAATTAAATTAAAAATTTTAAAAACTGGATCATTCTTTGCATACTTTTTCGTTGCTTGCATTTAGAAAATTTAACCACATATAATGCATATTTTTTTCATGCCACTACATGAAAAGAAGAGGTATCTCGTTATTTAAGATGCCTAGCAACATTTTATGATATGAGCATATTTCATTTATTGAACTAATTCCCTATATGTGGATGTTTAATTTTTTTCCAATTTCATTTCATTTCCTTGAAGAATATTTGTAAAAGATATGTTTCACTTAAGCCAGAGTATTGGTTATTTAGATAAAACACGAATCTCCTAGGGAATTCTGACTGATCAGAATTTTTAAAAGTCAAGATCTAAATGTTATATTTTAAAATATCAGTCAGCAACTATATGGTGTATTGGAAAGAGCTATAAGTATAGCCAAGAGAGATGGGTCTTTTTTGAAACCTGATACTTATTAAATATATGATATTGGGCAAGCTATCTAAGTGCTCAGAGCCTTGTTTTCCCACCTACAAAATGATATGAAGTAGGTGAACTTTAAAGGGCCTAAAAACTAAATAAAAGACTCCATACTGCAATTATAAGCAACTATACACTTATCACTGGCTAGAAAAGATGAATATTCCAGAGAAAAAGTAGTAGTCACCAGCTATTTTAGGTTGCTTATTATGTGATAGAAAAAGGTGATGGAAATGGTGCTATTGGGTTTTCATAAATTGAAAGGATTTATACCTTTTGTGTGCCTGTATTTTAGCTACTCCTTGCTCTATACTCTATTCTATACATAAGCATGGGCAAACCCAGACTGAACATTCCTACAGGGTTGCATTATACTCTTACACAGTTGTTTAATTCAATAATGGGTAGAGAAGTTTCTAATCCTTGCTCAGTCTTGATCATATTTCCTCAAAGCCTTCCTTGTTTGGATAGATTCTTGATGTTATAATTGAATTAAGACAGACTACCTAGAGTGTAGTGTACCAGGGAGCAGCTTGCAGAGATTCTGTCCCCTAGAGGATGCACTGAGTTGATGCTGACACTTAAAATGGTTTGCTGTCTGTCCATGGCTGAGGTCAGATTCAAGGACCTAGTATTACTTCTGATTCTTCTCCTGGTTTGCCAGATGATTTGTTATTGGCTCTGAATAGTTCAAGGATTGACAGATACGATGATTTTCTAAAATGGTAATGTGGGAATAAGTGATTCTGATCATTTTGTTTCTTTTTTTGATTAAAATTTAAATGGGCCTGTTTTGAGGAGTCTTTTGGTCATACACACCAGACACAATTCTAGGGTCTCTTTTTCTCTGTAATAACAATATATATGTCAAATATAAAATCTCTCCTGTGAAAATGTGTAAAACATTTGGATACATGTTGCTACAAAGTATTACAGTTATGAACGTTATGTTGTTGGGTTTTTTTTCTCAAGTAGTCCAAAGTTATTACCTGAAACCAAGCTAACAGGAGAGTTGAAAGATGTTCTCTTGTAGTGACAGATAGGTCATCTACATTAATTGTAAGCACCCAGTGCCCAGGATCATTCTTACTGATGTCCTGAATGGTGTGTGGTTTTATTTGCTTTATGTTGCATTTTTCCACAAAATGTATTTCAAAACTAATTTTCTTAGTGGCAATTCACACAGAGTGTGTTTAATAATGTCATTAATCGCTCTGTTACTAATTGTTTCATTACCTTTCTTATATTAGCAACTGTGAACACCTAACATTATTTATCAGATATGCGAGTGACCTCTCTCCTGGGCGGTGATGCTTACTTAGGAAAAGAAATGAAATCCTTTAACAAGATTCTTGCCTTTCACCACAACTCTCACTCTCACCTGGGGTGAAGGCCAGCCCTAATTTCTAGAGTAACTGCCATGAACATGGTTTATATATACAAGAAGCCCATGAAAATAGCTTCAGTGTTGATCTTCACATTAATCCCATTTTTTCCACACTCAGGAAAAAAAAACAAAAAACTAGCATTATCCTTATATAAATAGTTTATACGAAGCCATTCAGTGGGGGATTGGGGTGGTGGTGGTGGTGGTGGCTTATTTAAGAACTCTGATAGGCCAAATTATTCTGGTAGAAACTAGATTTTTAATGAGGTTCTTGCATTTGTTTTAATCATTTCTGTAGTGATTAGACAAATCATACCTTTTAAAGTGTGTGAATTTGAATAAATAATTTTACATTTCAATACTAATAATTGTGTGAAAGCATCCTAGGAATTCACTGTCTTTGGGAAAAACTAAAATGACTAAAGAGTCATGTGTGTTTTAAATATTTTGCTGTCAACCTGCACACAATGATTAGCTTTAGGTTATCTTTTTTTCTCCTTATGGTGAATTTAATATGAATCATCAAAGAAAAATTACCGTTGTTTACAAAACAAATTCATCTCTTGCACTTATATATTGTGTTGGCTAGCAAGCATTGTTCAATTTTAAAAAGATAATAATTTTCCAGCATCGTCACATTGAATATTATCAGATACCTGCATCCAGATCTAACTAAAAAGCTATATTTTACGTCTTTCGAGAATCTTGATTTTAATACAGGCACCACTACCAATTCGGGGTCAGACGGAATGAATCCATTTTCTCAGCAAGATTCAAGCCTTTGTGCCCCCTGTTAAGACTCATGCTATGAGAAGGCTGGTACTGTTTATGACAGATGCAAATTATACTCAACATCTTTTGTATTTTACAATTTATCATCAGGCGTGCATCCTCCAAACCCAATTCTTTTCTTTAAAGCCCAGAATTCTGGACCCTTCATAAAGCAAAAAGCTTGCTGCCACCTTCAAGGAACTCAAACTATCTGATTTTTTTATTTGCTGCTGCCATTAGATTGAAATGATTTTTCTTCAGTTTGCTCAAAGCCAGACTTAAAGTCAGGTCCCAGAGGTAACAGGAAAGTCGATCCCCTAAGCTACTCAGTCGTTGTTTGCTTTTTTTACATGTAATATCCTACTTCTAAGCCAGAATATAATTTAAAATGCAAAACACACTCTACATAAACATGTCCTTTAGTAATTTTGTAATCTGACATTTAATAGAAGTTAACTAAGTGCCTTATTTCATGTTTGTCAAGGAAAATGGAGAAATTATAAATATCCTTCAAGACAATTATTTCTTAATAGCTTTCTACATATTTTTAATGCCACACATTTTCTTACTACGTCAAGTCAATAATACTATGTGCTCCTTTTGAACATAGACCTGCCAGATTACTCACTTACAATTCACCTAAATAAGCCCCAAAGCATCCTAAACACTTCACACATTATGAGCTTCTGAGAACCATTCAAAGAGCTCAGGTTTGCAGTCACTTTCTGTTTGCTAGGGAACAGCAACGGGTTACTTTAGCCCATGAGCTGCAAGTGTGAGCAACAGGAATCCATTGGCTTTAATTTGTCCATGTCTTTCATTTGATACTACCAGTATTAATAGCTTTGCAAGGAAATTCTGCAGTCATTAATCATAATAATTAATCAGATCCAATTATATTGCATATAAATGTGAACAAATTGCTGAAAAAATAATGATCTATCACCAACATGTCACAAGGAAAAAGAGACTAAAATAGTAATTAGACGCCGGGATTTAGTTGTGTATGAGTGCCCTGCAACTGATTTTAACTATATTATGATCCGATGATGTAATTAGTCGAAAGTCTAGCAGGCCTTCTTAGCAGATCATCTAATGACTGTGCAACTGGAGAAAATAAGGTCCACTTTCCTGTGAGATGTTTTTGCATTTGCTTCTAACTTTGTTCTCCTAAATAAAGGAGATCCATTGCCCTTGGTGTTCTAATATTGGGAGGTAAATTGTTCCTGCATGGGTTTTCTGAATTTTTATTGCCTGTTTTTAAAGTAATGCTCTCTGTTAACTGATGATTACTTAAGTTAGGAATCAAGACATTCTAAATGGCATTTTTTTTTTCCTTTTTGCTCTTGTAATCATACAAATGTGTAACATATAATTCAAAATGAAATGTTTTGGTTATAGTAAGCTAACACACTGTGGGTAGCATGCATGCTAGCTATTTTCACCTATCTTCTTTCCCTTGAACTGAGCTGAAAACATTTCAGAAAATGGAATTACTCTGTTTTCACTTCAGTTAGCACTCTCTGGAGCACTGGCAGATTTTATCAGAAACCATTTAAAAATATATATGTGTGCGTGTATGTGTGTGTGTATATATAAATTCTTCTTTAACAGATTCTTAAATCTGACCGAAGTGAATTGTTTAATGCAAATTATTTTATGAAATAATTTTTGTGTCCCTGTTTTCTTTTGAATTTTCACTCTTGTCTCACAAGATAGAGCTTCCACTATAGTGTTATGTCTGTGCATAATTAGCATTAGTTTATTGTGTGGTCAAATATGTATTTTTAAACCTTTCAGAATATTTTCTTATTCCACTCACAGATTACACATGAAATGGTTAACTAAAGATTGATGAGCAGTTTTTATGATAGGTTCATCATAGTTTTCAATACTAAGCACTGCACTTTACCGTCTTTGATCTCAGTGTTGTGACTACTACAAAGGAATAAAACCTTATCTTACCTTTTCCAGCATCTACTGCAGAAGACCTCAATAATGCATAAGAACATCTGGAAGTACGGTAATTTCAGCTATCAGAGATAAGAATTGACACAGAACAGGTAAACCCTACAAAGTCATCATGTTGAAATGAACTGATTAAGGTTTAGTAACATAAAACATCATGTATAGTGTTTCCATGCTTGCTACATCTTGCTATTTTATATTAAAAAACGAATGTCAATTATATATATTTAATAGGTTGATTAGCTGGTAGCAATATTATATTTTACATAAAGAGACAGAAATGTCTGCAGATATTGCCATACACATCTATTTAGAGTTAACTGTGAGTTCATAGAAAATACATGGGCATAGTAAACAGGGTTTTGAAATGACAATTTTTTACTGGTTGCAAGTGCTAATTGCTAGTTTCTCAAGGGTATAGAATTAATCACCTGCTAGATTTACAGTCTCTAGGTTGAGACCTGAGGATGGAGGCAATAAGAAAAGCTCTTGAGGGACATATCATATGGTGAGTCTAAATATCAGTCTCTATGCATATGTAAATTGGTAACAAAGTTTTTTCAAAGCTCAAGTATGCTAATTTCAAACAGGCAAGACTAAAGCTAGCTTTTAGCAGCTGTTTAACGTCTGCCTGTGGGTGGTAGAGAGAGCTTAAAATACAAGCAAACAGTGGTGCATAAGTAATTAAGCAACATTTTGCTGGGCATAAATAATTCTGTTTATATTGCTCTTTTGAAGAGTGTAGAATACAAAATAACAGATCAAGTGCACCTTTGGTCACCAGAGGTTAACTGTTCTTCCTCTTTACCTTTTCTTTGGTTTTATGATTTAAGAGAAATAAATAACAAGGTATGTTATACAATCTTTTATAACTCTATAGAAATTAAAATCATTTAAGGTGAAGAAAGAAAAACCCTGTTATAGAATCACTGTACTATAAAATCAATATAATACATATTGATTTTAGTTTATTCTTCTAACAATTTATCAGAGGAAATGTAATATTTAATTGCAGATCTGTTTTTTGTGTTTTTATCTTTTAGGATTATTGAAAACAGAGTTTGGGTTGTTTGCTAAAATAGGGCAATCAAACTATTTTCAAATTCCACGAAAGGAATATATCCTCATTTTTTCAGGACAAATTTTAATTGTCCCATGCACTAAAAATAAGTAGATAAAATGTTAATAATTCACCTAGAGATTATTGTCTAAAAATTAGGACTGCTTAAATCAATATACCGCATACAGAATAATCACCTAATTTGAACAGCTCTTGCTAAGCCAGTAGAAGTGTCTAAAAGCAAAAGAAAGGCTGGTATAAAAAAATTGCATTTGATTCAATAAAAACCTTGAAATTGACCAGAAGGAAGATGAAAGATTTAACACGATTTAGAAATACCTAGTCTGGAAAAAAGGATTATAGATACTAACTGTGAAAAGAGTAAGGGGTTTAAACTTTGTTTGCTTTACATATTCATGGTTTAAGGAGTTAATGGTGAAAGGAAGTACTCAGTTGGGTATCAAATCTTATAAAGGGCTTTATAACACATAAGAATGCTAGGAAGGCAGGAGTGGCCATTTTTGCACAGGATTGCTATTTCCGTTTGCACTGAGGGAACAGGTAAATGAAATAGTATTTGAACAAACTTTCTTTTATTTATTCTCAACATTCTAAGAAAATATGTAAAATCTGGTGAAGAAAATCACCCTGTTTTATTCTGATATTTCTAATTATTCTAAATTTTTATTTTTTAAAAAACTTGCTATGGGGGCTGTGTTTTAAAACCACATGGCCTGAGTAGAAGAGTGGATAGGGCAATAGATTATATGCAGACATGATATACAATCAGGGTTGATCTGGCTTTTTCTTTGCATCTTGTTCTTCCTCTTCCTCTTCTACAATAGGCGGATATTAGCACCTGTTCCGGTCTCGCAAAGCAAAAAGATGAAATTCAGTTAAGTGATTGGAGAATAATGATTTCTTTGAGACACTATTCTAAACTTTCTCAGGCTCTTGGACATCTTATTCTGGTTCACTTAGTCCAACAATTCATTCTCCATGTACTCTACCATTGAGTATAGGCCTCATTACCCATTTCATGGAGGAAGGATAGAACAAGCAGGCAAGCAATAGGCTCCCTTTACCTATGTAAAAATATTCAGATTTGTTTGAAAATTCTGACAAAAATGGATGACAAAGACTCACAACTACTCAAAGTAACATAATTGATACTCTTCCTCCTGAGTTGATTTTTCCTGAAGATTGTAATTATTGCCTGTACATATTCTGAAAAGTGATGTTTGGTGTTGGAGGGGCATTGTCCAAGTACAGTTAGGTAAGAATTTGACTATTATGCATTATTAGGTTAACATACGTCTTGGTCATGTATGATCAGAGAAGAACTTTAAAAATTATTTTAGGAGAATTGAAGTGTTCTGCTTTGCCATATCGCTGCCTTTTTTTTTTTTTTTTTCTGGATCTTCAGGCTTTTGTGTGTTGCTTAGCACCTGTCACTTGCCATCACTTTTAACAACAAACTATTTTTCTCACAAGAACAGACAGTTACTGAAAAAGAAAAGTAGCATTAGAAATGGAAGTGCTTTAGTCTGAGTTTCCATGGGCATGCCACAAGACCATTGTCCTGCACCTTTTCACTCATTTGTCATCGAAGCTACCTGTTTAGGTACTTTACTATAATTTATAAATAAAAATGTTTTTATTTTTCTGATTATCTGTGAAGATATGAAAGCAGCCAAGTTTAAACTTTTGTTGATCAGATTAGTTTCTCCTTTGTATCTGCAAGATTTTTAATGCTTATTAAGGCAGAAGATAGTATTTTTTTTGAGAATGGTGAATCTAATTGATACATACCTCAAAGATGTGATAAACTATGATCAATTCATCTTGTTCCATTCACTAAATTAGGATTCTCATGCAAGGTATATGGAAACAGTCCATAGCCAACTAGGAGACATCCTAAGTAGGAGTTCTTGCTGGGCATGGTGGTGTGCACTTGTAGTCCCAGCTACTAGGGAGGCTAAGGCGAAAGAATCGCTTGAGCCCAGAAATTCAAGACTAGCCTTCACGACATGGCAAGACATCATCTCAAAACAAACAAAGGAAAAATAAGTAGGAGTTCATATAGGAAAAAAAGAATATGACAGATATTGAAATACAAAGTTTTATCCTAGAGTTTGAATCAAGTGCTAAGTAGGAAGGACCTAGCCGATAAAATGTATATACATAGTCAATGTCAAGTAATTACTGTGAACATTATGGGACCAGAAAAGTCCAGTAAGAAATTCTAATCCTAGGATAGAGGCTGATTTTTTTCTATTAACTTTGTTGTTTTTATGGTGTATTCACCAGTGTGTGTGTATATATACACATACACACACACACATACACATGGCCAGAGATTTGCAGAGCCTCTGCAGATATCTCTTCTTCAATGGTGGGTGAAGCAAAGGGCTTCCATATGTGTACCAAGGCATGGTCTCAGAAAAGTGTGTAATCTATCTCAGTTTGTGCTCAGTGTTTTATCACAAGGAAATGCTGAGATTTGCTTATTCATTTATTCATTGAGCCATTGACTGTTTACTTAGGTACTGTGATGTGTTGGACACTGTGAAAGTTTCTACAGATGCAAAGATGTGTAAGATAAGATAAAACACTAGAGTCAATAAATGTGGAAATACTATAAAGTCAGATTTGAGGAACACTCATCACTGGCAGATACCTCATTCCATCTCTGACTTTTTGAGCCAATATTGTGATGGTTATGAAGAGATGGATTACTTACCAATGTGACACAGAATATCCATAGAATTCAGAATGTCTGTGAATGCAGAATACCTGATTGTAAGTTTTCTGTTTTTAACTACTCTGCAAAATTCTGATGACTCATCTTGCTATACTTTTTGGAAATAATTGCATGAATATATGCTAGTATATATAAATATATATATAACCTAATAGTAAATATATGTTAACATATATGTTAGAATATGTTAGTGAATTAATTTATGTTAGTGAACTAATTTATCACTTTATATGTTATTTACAGTGTGTGTACACCTATCAGGCTGACACCAATGGACATGGAATACTGATTAGATACACACACACACACACACATATATATATACACACACACGTATATATATAATGTTATATATATGTGTGTGTATATATATGTTTGTATATATATGATTATACATATAATCTAATAGTGAATATATGTTAGTTTTTATAATCTAATAGTTAATATTAAACAACATATATATATTTCACTGCTAGATTATAAAAACTTTGAATATGGGGAATGTACCCATTTTTTTTTTTTTTTTTTTTTTTTTTTGAGATGAAGATTTGCTCTTGTCACCCGGGCTGGAGTGCAATGGCGTGATCTTGGTTCACTGCAACCTCTGCCTCCTGAGTTTGTCCAAGAGATTCTCCTGCCTCAGCGCCCTGAGTAGCTGGGATTACAGGCATGTGCCACCATACCCGCCTAATTGTTGTATTTTTAGCAGAGATGGGGTTTCACCATGTTGGCCAGGCTGGTCTTGAACTCTTCACCTTAGGTGATCCACCCTACTTGGCCTCAAAGTGCTGGGATTACAGGCATGAGCCACCGCGGCCAGCCGGGAATATATCCATTCTTAAATGAAAACATTTGCAGCCTACTGATAAAGCTTCCTATTTCAGAATAAAGCTTTGCCTTGTCGTTGTCTCAACACATAGACTAACTTACATTATTCAATTTAAATTAATTGAAGTTCCAAACTTTCTCTATTCCAAAACTGTTGATTTCAAATGAAGACTGCATAGCTTTCTGCATTCAGAAAGACAATTTCAATTTGTGAATTACTTAATATTTCTCCCTTATAAACTTGGAAGCAGCACTCTACTGGTTTGCTCTAAAGATGTGCTACTGTGAAAAAGACAATTACATATTGTGGAAGAGTGTACCTAAGGAAAATTTTTGGGTAATAAATTCTAGTGGCAGAGAATAAACTCCCAAAATATGAGTATCTAAAATATGTTTCATTTTCTTAAACAAATTAATTTCTTTTTCAGCTATTATTCAGACCTTTTGACAAGCAAGCGAAATTTGTTTTATTAATTTCATTTGAACGTATGTGTGCTTCTCTTTATTTTTCTATTTCTGATTGCAGTCAGCATAAAGACTTAATAGGCACTTGGGCCAGACATGATGGTGATATTAGCAAATCATATACTAAGGCTCTTACTATAAGGGAAAATATACTTTATGCAGTATATATTTATACACAATACTATTATGTATATATTGTTGGAGGTAAAGAAACTTTTAAGAAAAAACTAATCTATCATCCTATTTTTCCAACCAGCCCAGATCAACAGCTATATAAAGGGTAGGTTTGGAATAGGGGAAGGTGAAATTTTCTCACTGAAGGCCCAATGGGCCTGCAGGCTGTGTAGGATACCTTGAACCTGGAATCATTACATCAGTATTCCACGCCCTTCGGCGTCAGCCTGATAGGTGTACACATGGTATAAAATGCTCACTCTTGTTTTGCCTTCTGAACTGAGATTCTTCTTAAAAGCGTCAACAAATCTGTTGATTATACCTCATGTTAAGGGAACATCTAGATAGAATCATTTCAGTGTTTATGTTTTTTACTTTATTTGTTTTCCTTCATAACTTTTTATGCAGATGACTGTACAATGTTGAGATCAATTGCAGCTGAAAATTTCCCTCATATTTACTAATTTATATAGTAACCAAAAGGTAGAAGGGAAATAAAACAAAAACATATTTGGTAATTTCATGAATTTAAAAATTAGCCCTGGGGGAAAATGCATCACTTTATATTTTGTATCACTTCTGTATTTAAGAAACCTAAAAATGGGAATTTCATATTCTCATATTTTGACAAGTACTTTACATTTGCTTGAATAAATATTTTACTATGAAAGGAATATGATTGAAAAGAAGAGAACCCCACACTATTAACTTCTCAGGAACATTAAAGCAGTAAAAGTACACATTCCATAAGCCAAGGGATGCAGCAGCATTCAGTTAGCTCCAACCAATCCAGCAAAGAGATTTTCTTTTTCTTTCTTATTTTTAAGCTCCAAGAAATCCTGCACTTACAGAAAGGAGAGGTGTGCTTCAACTGTCATATTGATGTGGCAGAATTTAGCTCTTTTCTGAAGAGATTTCATATCCCAAGAGCTTAAAGACAATAGTGCACTGTATATAGAGCCAATAAATCAATTAGCTTTAACAGCCAGAGTTCAGGAAATGCATTTATTCTCTTGGATGAAAACATGGCTTTTCCTTGTAGTTATACTTCAAACTGTTAAGGTCAATTTTTCACATGGAAATTATATTTAGCAGTTGAAAAAAATCACTCATAAATTTCATAAAGCAAAAGAGAAGCACTTACTAATGTAGAAGAACAAGTTTGTTTTATTTGTAATTATCTATCTTTAGAGTAATTGAGATTCTAAACAGCAGCTAATAGCCTCACTGTCTCAAATTACTACTGCCTGTAACTTTACCTTGCCAAATATCAAAGAGCTTTTCAATTGCAACACTACTACTAAAACCTGGGTCATTTTGTAGCAATTAATTGGAAGAGGTGATTAATAGCTTAATAATGGGTTGCTCTGTGTTTAAAAGGTACAGAGGACGTGCATAGGAAAGGAATATGTAATTTTGTATCCCTGAAACATAACCTAATTGAAAAATCAGCAGTTGGTCTTATTTACTTTAGGCTTGTATTTCCAAACCTTCTTTTGATCTACTCTGAGAAAATGTGTAAATCTGGAGAGTATTTTTTAATTAACTCCTTGAACATTGAACATGCTATGAATTTAAGGAGCACAAGCTATTCCATGGCACCTGATGTTCCGCAGTCAACTTCACAGGAATTTGAGGGCAATACGTGTCAAGTATCTATCTGGATGTGCAGATGGTAGTGCCCATTCAGCAAGTCATCCACTACATGGTCACTCGGGGATTCATCTGGCCATTTGCCGATAGCATAGCCTTAGTAATGTGGTGCCCGGGAGCCGGTGTCCACTTCTACTATGGATTCTTCTTATATTCACCCCAGACTTAGTGACTGTAAGATCTAGCTTCAGCCTTTCATAATATTCTTCCAGAAACTTCCATTAAGACAGTCAGCGCTATTTAGCAAGTTCACCACTCTCAATGTTTTGAAGCTAATTAACAAGGAAATGGCAACTTGACTAGTTAGACAAGTAATTTGATTGAGAGGGAGGTCTTATAATAAGGTAAGGGTTGCAACTAGCAAATTAAAAGGGGCCAGGACACAATTGTCCAACTCATTACAACATCACATTGATCCATGGCAAGATGTTTGGATATGGGACACACTAATTTTTAAAAATTGTCTACTGCAATTGCTATCAATGTTCATGTGTTTCTCTTATGTTGCTAGAAGACAGTCAAGATTAAAGCTCTCGATTTCCTGTCATTTCTGTCACATGGCGCATTCTTGCTTCTCATTTCAGTCCAATCATATTCCAGTTGAACCTAGAAATACTGAACTTTTTGTCCCCCATTTATTTGCACAATGACTTAACGTTAGTGGAAGTCAGGATTTTAGTAACTTCCTGACACTAGTTCTGTGGAACCAACCATAAAATGGGAATAAAAGGACACATGAAATAAAGACAACTATCTGGAAGTGCACTCCACATATCCGGTTCTCATACACCCAGGTATGCACTCTTGAAATAATTTATTCTACCAAAGACAAGGTATCAAATGAAGACCCAACAGGTCACAGGATTTTTCTTTCAATTCTTTTCACATTTATTGGATAATATATAAAGATAAAGGAAAATTATGAAAATTAAAACAAAAAGGACTTGGTCTCCCACTGCTAAAGGGCACACAGTCCACCAACTTTAATTAGCTGGAATGAAGATATAACACTTTGCTAGTGGTGGGGAAAGCCAGTCAGCTGAAAACAAAGACACAAATGGCTTTATGAGATTATTATATGCTCCCAAACAGGAACTCACTTATTCTCTGAAGTCAAAGGCTAGTGAAGTCCTAGATAAGTGGAAAATCTTTCAGCTTGAAGGGGTCTCACCTGTACATTAGAAATTCCTGCTGGGTGCGTAGCTCAAAGTTCTAATCATCCTCCAGCTCAGAGCATAAAGCTTTGATTCCAAGATGTGATGGAGGCAGACCAGTTTAGCAAGAGTAGTTTTTTTCTTGCATGGCTTTTGATAATTTTCCTTAAAACAATATTTTTCTTTATTTTATTGAGACAGGGTCTTACCCTGCCACCCAGGCAGGAATGCAGCCTTGACCTCCCAGGCTCAAGCAATCTTCTGCCATATTTATTTACGTATTTTTTTTTTAGAGATGGGGTCTCACTATGTTTCCCAGTCTGGTCTCAAACTCCTGGGCTCAAGCCATCTTCCCACCTCGACCTCCCAAAGTGCTGGGATTACAGGTATGCACCCTGGGCCCTATATATCATAAAGCAAATTATTTTTAATTTGCTTAATTTCTTTGTACTCAGAGCTAAATCTCCCCATGACCTTAAAATATTTAGTACAATTATCCATGCCTTTATATTTTTGTATTTGTCAACTTTATTTCTGAGTTCTTTCTCAGAAGGCCCCATCTCAAACCTGGTTTAATGGTTTTCAAACTAGGCCTACTAATAGTTAATATTTGTCTTCTGGAATTACCTTTATTTCTCTCTTGCTTTACTTCTGTGGAGTAAATTTTCTAATAAGCTGTCCGAGAAAGAGTTCTTAGAAAATAAGTTGTCTGATGCGCTCTCCATCTTAAATATCTGTCCCCTAACCATACTTGTTCCATTGTTTGCTAGCTCCCAGTGTTTTTTCAGAGAAGTCACATATCCCTCTGATTCTTGGTCCCTTGTATATTAACTTTTTAAAAGAAGAGTGTTTTGGTTTTCTTTTGGGAAGCAGTTAGAATCTAATTTTAATATGTGACATTTTGAAATTTTATGATTTTGTACTTTGGCATGAATCTTTGTCATTCTTCATACTGGGTACATATCTGAAAATATATATTTTTAATTCAGAAAGCATTCCTTATGTGTTTTTTTAAAAAATAATTTTCTTCTCATTATCTGTGTTTTCTACTAGTAAGATATAAGAGCCTTGGATTTGATCCTCTAATTTTCTTATCTTTTCTCATCCAACTTATGTTTTTTTTTTTCTAAGATATTTCCTTGAGCTTATATTCTACCTCTAATATTGATTTTTAATTTTTAAATATTTTTGGCATGTATGGCCCATGTCTTAATCTCTAATTTTTCAGTGGCACTCTATCTGAATATTGTATGAATGCAATAGTATCTATTTTATTACTGTACTGATGACATTATATTTTCCACAATTCTATTATCTTTATTTCTATTTCCTATTTATTTTGATGTTTTCTTTTTTTCAAGATCATTTGTTCAGATCTTCTTGCAAATATCTGATGGTTGTTGGTTATGCTGACTGAAAATTTACTTTGGAAAGGAAGAACTGCCAATTGACCCTTTTACCAGAGGGTGCATAGTCCCCTGGCCAACTTACTATTTTTAGGGTATGTAGGGTAGCATAAGCCTAGCTGTATATACTGAAAGTAGGATGAGAACAAGGTTGGTGGTCTTACCCTTACCTGTGTAAACTTTTACTTTGTCTGCTGTTTACATTGTGGTGGCATTCTCCCATCATCTTCTGGGCTTGAATTCCAGGCTTTATTTTTGTTTTTGTTTTTGTTTTAGTTTGTTTTTTCTCCAGAGGTTAATATACCCAGAATGGCAAAAACGGAGAAGATACAGTGCTTTCACAGGTGGGGACTGGGATATCTTTCACTTAATTTGCCTATTTCCAGTCAGATACTTTGTCACGTAAATCGCTTTAATTTTAAATATCTTTCTTTTCTTGTAATGTTGATACACTTGTGATGTCTCACTTTTTTTTTTTTTTTTTTTTGAAGGCTGGCAGAAGGAAGGGTCTTTATTTTTTCATTGAAATTAGGGTAAATTAGGCAAGATAGTAATGTTGTTTCCACATAGCTTTATAGCAATTATATTAGTTAAAAATTATTCTCTTTTACAGATTAAATAATTTAAAGCTTAGAGAATGTTCTTAAGTTGCACAAGGTTTTACAGCAAATCAATGGCAGAATCAGTGTCTGTGTCCAAGTTCCAAAGACTTTGGAACACATTTTTTTTAAAACACTCTACTGTGATGCCTCCACAACACAGAAATATTTTTAAATTGGTTCAGTGCTGATTCTAGCAGGTAAAGATTCGATGGGCTATTGAGTTAGCTAGACTAGAAATCAAAATAATTTTCTTTTCACAAGATACTGTTTTTCCCTGACTTAGCCCCAAGGCTCCATTCTCCTTATTAAAACTTATTTTCAAAATTTTAACTTACAGTAGGTTATAAGTTGTTGACAAAAACTTTAAAAACTTCCCCTCTCAGGGGTATTTGGGGGTTAATTTAAAAAGATGTTTGATGAAGCTCCAACAATATTTCAGGGGGTAGAAGACGTATTTTGGACAGAAGAAAATTTCCAAAATAACTATATAGATAGATAATTTATTGTCTACCTGTAAAGCAGGTTATCAGTGTTGAGGAAAAACTGAATTATCAGCAGGTGTGCCAAGATGGCCGAGAGGAGGCAACACCGGAATGCAGCTCCCAGCGAATGAGATGCAGAGGGCTAGAGGACTTAATGATTCCAAGTGAGGTGCTCGGTTCATTTCAGTGGGGCTGGTAGGACTCTAAAAACAGCCCAGGGAAGAAGCTGAAGCAGGGCAAGAGCCGACCAGGGAAGCCGAACTGAGACAGGGTGGGGTGTGTCCCCACCTCGAACATGTAGCTGGAGGGTTGGGGACTTCACTCACTCAGTTTTCCAATTCAGATTCTGTACTTACCTCATCAGTCCTGCAACCCATGGTCCACAAGACCCCTGCCAGACTAAGGGGTACCATGAGTTGTTGATGCAAATCTGAGCCACGGCTCCTGCCTGGTGCCAAAAATTGTCAGCAGGGACCCAGCCAGAAGTTTGGACTCATGCAAGTGGGACAGAACAACCTGTCCCACAGAAAGAGGCAGGGCTGAAAGCAGGGAAACAGGCCATAAGGTCTGGCAGGCCCCACCCCCACAAAACTCAACCTGAAGCCCATGCACTAGCGAGCTTGGCAGCGAATACACCAGTTTGACCCCAATGGGGAATATCAAGCTTGGGAAAGGAGAGATGCCATTGAGAAGGCAGGGCTAATCTCACCTGTAAATAAACTCTAGGGGAAGAACACCCAACTGCAACCTGACTGTATCTGAGGCAGCCCAGCAGCACCTATACAGGCCAAAAATGATACAACTCCAACCACAACAGAAAGGACATCTACTCAGAGATTCCTCCTGAAATCACCTTCAAAGATGAAAGGGAGATAAATCCACAAAGATGGGAAGAAATCAGTGCAAAAAGGATGACACCATCAAAGACCAGAACACCTCTTCCCCCAGCAAGGATCACAATTCTTCACCATTGAGGAAACAAAACAAGACAGAAAATGAGTTTGATGAATTGACAAACAGGCTTCAGAAGGTGGGTAATAACAAACTTCTCTGAGCTAAAAGACCATGTTCTAACCCAATGCAAAGAAACTAAGAACCTTGAGAAAAGGATAGACAAAATGCTAACTAGAATAACCAGCTTAGAGAAAAACATAAATGATTCGATGGACCTGAAAAACAGCACAAGAACTTCCTGAGGCATACACAAGTTTCAATAGCTGAATCAACCAAGCAGAAGAAAGGATATCAGAGATTGAAGATCAACTCAAGGAAATAAAACGAGAAGGCAAGATTAGAGAAAAAAGAGTAAAAAGTAATGAACAAAGCTGCCAAGAAATACGGGATTATGTGAAAAGACCTAATCTACACTTGATAGGTGTACCTGAATGTGATGAGAAGAATGAATCCAGATTGGAAAACACTCTTTAGGATATTATGCAAGAGAACTTCCCCAACCTAACAAGGCAGGCCAACATTCAAATCCAGGAAATATAGAGAACACTGCAAAGATATTCCTCAAGAAGAGCAACCCCAAGGCACATAATCATCAGATTTACCAGGGTTGAAATGAAGGAAAAAAGACTAAAGGCAGCCAGAGAGAAAAAGGTTGAGTTACCCACAAAGGAAAAACCATCAGACTCACAGTGGATTCTTGGCAGAAATCCTACAAGCTAGAAGGGAGTGAGGGCCACTATTCAACATCCTTAAGGAAAAGAACTTTCAACCCAGAATTTCATATCCAGCCAAACTAAGCTTCATAAGTGAAGTAGAAATAAAATCCTTTATGGACTAGCAATTGCTGAGAGATTTTGGCGCTACAAGAACTGCCTTACAAGAGCTCCTGAAGGAAGTACTAAACAAGGAAAGGAACAACCAGTACCAGCCACTGCAAAAACATACCAAATGGTAAAGAACAATGATGCAATGAAGCAACTGCATCAACTCACAGTCAAAACAACCAGCAAGTAACAAAATGGCAGGATCAAATTCAAATATAATAATATTTACATTGAATGTAAATGGCCTAAATGCCTCAATCAAAAGACACAGACTGGTAAACTGGATATTAGTAAATTAGTTCAACCATTGTGGAACACAGTGTGGCAATTCCTCTAGGATCTAGAAATAGAAATTCCATTTGACTCAGCAATCCTATTACTGGGTATACGTCCAAGGGATTATAAGTCATTCTATTATAAAGACACATGCACACATATGTTCGTTGCAGCACTGTTTACAATAGCAAAGACCTGGAACCAACCCATGTGCCTATCAATGATAGACTAGACAAAGAAAATGTGGCACATATACACCATGAAATACTATACAGCCTTAAAAAAAACAATGAGTTCGTGTCCTTTGTAGGAACATGGATGAATCTAGAAACCATCATTCTCAGCACACTGACACAAGAACAGAAAACAAAACACCACGTTTTCACTCATAGGCAGGTGATGAACAATGAGAACACTTTGGTACAGGGAAGAGCAGAACATGCACTGGGCTATGTTAGGGGGTAGAGGGGTGGATAGAGAAGGAACAGTGGAGGGACAGGGAGGATGAGGAGGGATAATGCAGGGAGAAATGCCTGATATAGGTGATGGAGGGCGGGGGGATGAAGACAGCAAACCACCATGGCATGTATATACCTATGCAACAACCCTGCAGGATGCAGGATGTGCACATGTACAGCAGAGCCCAAAGTACAATAAAAATAAAAATAAAAATAAATTAAATCCAAAAAGTTCTTGTAGAGAAAAAAAATTTAATTATCAGTTAATATCCCTCCACAGTAGAGAGAGAGGGTGGAAGAGAAAGATCTGCTTGGGATACTGGCGGGATAGGCTAGTTTTTAACATTTGGCTCTCTGGAGCTGGGCCTGGAATGGGCAAAATATTTTATCTGAAATATCTATGAGAGGGGAGTGTCAGAGTATGATGAAAAGTAAGTGGGGAGAACAGTGAATAGATTAGATGGGTGAGAGCATGGTGTATTTAGAGGCTGAAATCAGATTAAGAAGATTCTTATAGTCAACCTTATTATATAGCCAATGGAAAGTGAATGGTAATGTTTGCATTTGGAATTTACATATACAGACCTATGTTTCAAGGGATTTCGTCTGGTACAGATAGCTTCCTTATCTTTCTCTGCTTTTAAAATGGTTTAATTTGACAAGAGTGTAAATGGAATTGAATGAACAATCAGCTCTCGAGTCACTATAGATAGGATGACTATGATTCATTGTTTAACTTGTAAGAATGAAAGGAAGGTACTAAGGCAAAAGGATAAGCAGGAATTCCCAAGGCTCACTGGAAGGTATAGCTATCCTCCCTATGGGCATGTTGGTGAAAGGAGGTAGGACAGAGTATATAAAACCCTGTCTGAATAATTGCAGAAGAGAAGGGAAAGGGAAGAGTAATTGATCATTGTAATAAGATCTTTGGTTTGCCAATTCCATATTCATTTTTAATGGACCAAGATGTAACTTTTATTTTGATGTAGATCTTTCTAGTTTTTAAAGATCCTACCAAAAAAAAAAAAAAATCAGTGAGTGCTGTTGTGAACCCATATGTTCAGGGATATTAAATAGCAACATGTTTGATTATTTTAAAATTTTGCTTCAATTTGGTTAGAGAAATATATTCAATTTAGCTCCTCTAGTAATCTGGGCAACCACAGTCCTTGTGTTTATTGCCTTATGTGTTCTAAGTGTTCTAAGTACATGTTAAATGATTATTTAGTGATACAGAAAACTATAAAAACTCTGTGAGACACAAATATAGTGCTTGGTTTGAAGAATCATTTAGCCATTTGAGAGACAAACTGCATTCAAAATATTTTCCTCTCATTTGAGCAGGGTCAACTTATCCATTAAGCACTGTAGACACAGCAGCAGGGCCTTCCTTCTTTTGCAGGCCTATGAAATGGTTTTAATTTATTTTAAAATCTGAAGAAAATGCAAGAATCTTTTAGGTAAAGAAAAAAATTTTAACATGTAATGGCATTCATTTTAAGTCAATTAATAGGGTCAAAAAATATATTTTTGATAATTTTGATGAAGAAAGGAGCCCACAAAAACAGAACTGCTTAGGGCCTGTAAAAGTCACTGAGTCCACATAAACTACAAAGAATATATTTCTTAGTATAGTGCTGGCATAAGCTTTTTGTTGTTTTTCCTATATTAGGTGTCATTTTAATTTCAGTATCTAAACCAAGGTAACATTTTCTTTTTGAGCTGAAAAATCTCTAAAGATAATCATTCTCTTTTATGAAACAACCTTATGTGTTTTGTGGAAGAGACTTCTTTCATTTCCTTAAGTCTTTTCACCAATATTGATGAAGGTCCTCCTGGGGATCATTGAGGACTTTCCCTGGGGAGAGGTTGAGGAGATGCCTGAGGCTGGAAGCATCAGGCAAACCACTAAGCTGGAAGCAGGGAGAGAGAGCGGGACGTTTGGTGGTAGCGGTTCTGAAAATCAGCTAGGTGGGATCCAGCTTCACATGGCTGACTTGTATTCAATTTAGGACCTGTCCCAGGTGGCTGTTACAGAACACTGTGTCGCCTATGGCTGTGTGAAGTAAATGGATGCTCTTCCTTCCCACATCCAAGTGTTTACTAGTAGTTAGTGAAGGCTAGCGTCACACATGTGGAATAAAGCTAAACACATGCCCCCCCCATTACATTAACATTTTAATGAGAACTACTACAGTCTTCCTAACATGTATACATATTGTACATACTATTTTTACCTATAACTACTTATAACACTAATAATATAAATGGTGATAGCCATAAAAATTACTTAAAACAAGAATAGCTAATGTATATTGGGACACACACTATTCACATATACTTTTCTGAAATTTCATCACAATTCTCTGAAAGTTTTTGGAATGTCTACTATAAACCAGATGTGTTTTAAACTGGGAAGATGGTGGAGAATAGACAGGTGAAGCTTCTACTTTGATGGAGTTAATATTATAATGTGATAGTAAATTAAAAAAACAACAAGATAAATATCAGATGGTGATAATTTCTTTAATTTTCTATTTGAAATCATTGTGTGAATTTTAATCACAGCAAATGTGTTTTAGCAGTAGTCATAAAATCAACATTACCACATATGTAAGAGACAAGACACCAGTTTGGCATACAAAAATACTACATATTAAAATGGGGTTCATTGTCAAAAGTC